CTTAAAAATTTTAAAATTTTAGCACCCTTAGATCAGACTTTTAGAACCTATTCAGGATTTTCATACATAAATTGTGTTTCCTTTTCATAATCGATCCAATTGACATTGGTGATGGAGCAAATTGTGTTCTACCGTACTTTCCCAATTGTTTTAAAAGCTCCATGTAATTTTTGCTTATGCATTTTTGAAGCAAAAATCGGAAAATCGGCACTTTCCAATTTGGAAGGTAAAATATCGGCAAAATGCCGATAAATCGGCAAATCTGGCAGGCCTGGCTGTGAGACACGTTAATGGCCTGGGGAATTTGCAACAACTTTTAAAGTTTTCAAGCAATTTTTGTGTTTTATATTTTTCCGAAATGCTTACTCTGTGCACATTACGATTCTTTTACGATAAAGTTCAAAATTTATTACTAAATGGCCAAATTTGAGCAAAAACTGAAAAAATTGATATTTTCCCCTTGTAAAAGCAGTTGGAAACTTCAGAGCCGTTGCGGCACCCGTTAACGTTATCCAATCAGCCTAATTTTTTGTATGACATAGTTTTACAACCCATAGAACAATTCTAGAGGGGGGACAATTTTTTTTCCTTCATACAAGCTTGAATCACTGTAATACATATGTATAATTTGGACTTTCTGCCAATGGGAGTTTCAACAAAAAATATTTTACACAAATGGCATGGATATTGATTTGTTCTTAAATGTCAGAATATTACAGTTATCGTTAAATTTATAAAAAAGTAGTCAGTTTTAGTAAAAAATTATTTTTAGTTATAAATTAATTTTTGTATAAATTCCACGGGATTCCTGGGAAATTATTTTTTCATTCCCATTTCCCGGGAAATTAAAAAGTCCGGGAATTCCCAAACTATAGTTATCCTAATATATATTATAAATCTCTTTGTAAGTCTGTTCGTTTGTTTGTTCGTCAATCACGCCTAAACGGCTGGACTGATTTTCTTCAAATTTGGAACATAGTTAGATCTATACTTGGAGAGTGTTATAGGCTATATATTTTTTCAGAACTTGGACTAGGAGGGGGCAAAAATGGGTGGGGCAAAATTAGTACTTTTGATTGTAAATACTGATTTTGTCTATCCTTAAGCAAAATCATTTTCGATTAAACTACTTAATTTGTTAGAAATATATATTACCAAAGTGCCGTTGCGAAAATTGGACCGGAAGGGGGCAAATGAAATAGGCCAAATGGTGAAAATATGACCAAAATTTAAGAACGATTTTTTTCTATTCTAAAGCCTAAATATTATAAACTATGATTTTGATAGTCTCAGACATATGTACATATATTTAGAAATCCCACCGTTAGGGGAAAACACGTGTAAAAAAAGGGAAATCTGTTTTTGCTGCGTAAAGAGACTTAATAAATGCATATTTTCAGACAATTCAAACTACTTCAATGAATAAATAACAGAAATAAATAAACAAGTAAAAATTTATAGTTCGGTATGGCTGACCATATGATGCCCTACCTTAATTCAGAAATATTTTAACAATTTATTGACAAAAAGGATTTTCTAAAAGAGGGTTATATGGGGGTAGATGGTTAATATGGGCCTATCCTTATAAATTTTGGTAAAGGGATTTACGTCTACATTAAAGTTATTTATGTAGAATATCGCCGTAATATTAGTGTTTATAAGTAAATTTGAACCATCAAGTCCTTTTATGAAGGGGACTTTATAGGGGGATGTGATCAAATGAGGACCGATCATTACGAAAATCAGCAGTGTCATTAAAAATTAAAAAAAAACTTAGTTTTGCCGATTTTTGGTGTGATACAAGAACATTATGAACTCAAAAGCCATCTTCAGGGGTGCGATTGTATGGGGGCTATGCGAAATAATGGTCCGATTTTAACCATTTTCAATAGGATTCGTCCTTGGAAGAGTATGTGCCAAATTTCATCAAATTATTTTGCAAATTGCGACCTGTAGCGTGTGCATAATGTTTTTAATTACACTTAATTTGAAACATATGTAGTTAGATATATAGGTATATAGTATGATATACTATATTGTTTTCCAAAACTTGGATAAGAAGGAACAAGAAGGGGTATGTGGATGAAAAAGAGACAAAATTCGTAATTTTGGGAGTAAATAGTAATTATTGTCTATACTCAAGCAAAAACATTTCCGATTAAGCTTTTAAAGTGTCTAAAATGTGTATTATGTAGCAAAGTTCCGTTTCGAAATAGGAGAAAAGGCGAAAGAAAGGGACTATAGTCTGTCTGTTATAGTCTGATTTTTATTTTTTTTCGTTCTAAAGTAAAAATATTTTAGACGATGAGTTTTTAGTTTCAGAGATATGTGTATTCGAAAGTCCGCTCCTAGAGGGAAAAACAGGAAAAAGAAATTCAATCTAAACGGGCAAAAACGGCTAATTATGTGTTCCTTTGCTACATTTTTTTGTACTTTTATGAAATTTGAGAAATACATATTTTTTATTAATATTATTCCGTAATCGGTCAAAAAATGTGTTTTTCAAAAATGTTTTTGCAAAACATCATTAAAGAGGGAAAGGTTCCTCTCTGACGTGATTTTCTTAATATATGTTTTGCAACATCGATTTGTGAAATGATTCAAAATACATAAATTTGAATAATACTATGGAGAATTTATAGCTTTATAAGATCACAAAGAAATTGTAAGGAGTTTCTTCATAAGGAGACCTTCAGCATTTTTTGAAACATGATTAAGTTAGGGAAAAATTATCACATTCTAAGTTAAATATGTATAAGTTAAATATGTATATTATAGTTTTACCTAACTAGATAGTATTAGAATTATAATTTTGGAATGAGTAAATTTTTTTCATTTCGTAAATTCAATGTTATGTTATTTAAATCAACGAAATTTTCATATTTCTGAATGTTGAAAAATTTCAGAAATTGATCTATGGACATAAAGCACATTTTTTAGTTTACTCTAACGAGAGAATACTTAAGTATAATGTTATAAAACCACTTAAAACCGCGGGCAACGCCGGGTACAAAAATCTAGTTACATAAATATTTGATATAACGTTAAAGCTTTTAAAGACCATTCATTTGGTGCCAAATTTGCGTAAATTATTTTTCAAGGAATATGGAAAAAAATCACAAAAACCTCAAAAAATGAACCTTTTATTATTGCTCCAGCTTACTAAATATCAACGTCAGGACAAACATTTTGAGAAACGATATAATAGAATGAAATAAGTTTTTATTTTCGGCGGGAACATCAGCAATTTCCATTTTGAGACGACCCGACAAATATTATTTAAACATGTATTTGCAAAAAATATCGATTTTGCTCAGATGGGTCTTATTTTGTTTATTAATATCGAAAACTTACTGGTGTTAAATTTTAGTCTAATCTGATAACGATAACTCTGCCGGAAATTGATTGAAAAGTGTAAAATTGGGTAAATAACGTATGGTGAATAACATATGGACACTTATTCACTTGTTGTTTAAAAAGACACAGGACACATATAAAAAAATTTCATACGTTAAATTTAAATGCACTATCTACTTATTAAAAAAACCGAAAATTGTCTTGGTCAAATAATAATTAGTTTCAAAAATGATACTAAACAAACTGAACCATCGAAAACGAAATTATAAAAACCCATACTAAAATTAAAAATTAAATTTTATGCATTTTAAAGACATGGAATTCCAAAAAAAAAATTCCTATAAGAAAATAAACTTAACTAAGAATAATAAGTCAATTGGGAAAAATGCAGATGAATTCGGAAATGTAATTGGTAAGGCTCCAAAGTTCGGTCTAAATTAAAAGGTTATTGTGCGAAATTCTATCACCAAAGGGGCAGGAAATATTATTTCGACAAAAGAGTCATTAGGAACTATTTAGAATAAATGGGAGTAGAGAATAAGAAGAAAAAAACAGCACCATACGCCAGAGCTTTCAAGAAATTAATTTTCTTGCTCATAAGAGTACAAATGTGTTATGGATAACGAGACATATTTTACCGTCGAAAGAAATCGAGACATATTTTACCGTCGAAAAAGAAAATGATATCAGAGAACCAGTTTTTTAAAGGTTTTAAGCAGTTAATGTCCAAGTTTATAGTGAAAATTTTATGCAATTTTATCGAAAAATATCATCGAAAAGAAAGAAAGAATTTTTGGCCAAATTTTGCGTATTAATATTACACGAAAGCTATAATAGAGAACTCAACAAATTAAAAAAATTAATTTGTACCAATGGAAAATAACCTCCTAAAATTTCCACAATTTCGACCTATTGAAAACTTTTGCGCTAATTTGAAAAGAAATGTGATCGAAAACGATACAGAGCCGAAAATGATTCGCCAATTCCTAACATAAAAAAATTGAAAACCATAAATACATAGGGTATTCAGATATTAATGAGTGATCTATCAAAGAAAATTAGTATAGCAAATCGCGAAGGAGCCAATTTTTTGTAAAAATTTTATATGAGATTCGAACTTAAGCTTGAATTAAAATCATTTATTTTTGCAAGTGTTTTTGGTAATTTTATACTTGTCCATATTTCTTCAAAAATTGTGCCATTGAAATTTACTTTTATTAATATTTCGTCTAAATCTTATCATCTAGAGAAAATTATCTATCCAACATTTATATCAAAGAACAAACAATAAAGTTGTTGATTATTTCCCAAGCCATTTATTCAAAAATTCATGCATTGTTTGGTCTCCGTTTTGCATGCAGAAGTGATGTAAACAAAAATATGTATTTACATAAAAAAACTTGTAAATAAAAATTATTTAGTCGGTTTTGCTACATATTCGTGAATTTAAAAAAGTTCAATTATTTACCAAATTTTACACTTTTCAATCGATTTCCGGCACGGGAACACCAGTTAGTTTTCAACACAAGAGAACAAAATAAGAGCCATCGCAGCGTAATCGATATTTTTGGACACCTCTTATGTATATTATACATATATAAATATAAAAACTATAAAAACTTTATTTAATAATAAACTTTTCCAACTTTTTTGTTTAGGTAATTCCAATAATTTGGTGTCTTATCCGGAAATCAAGAGTGGCGTTCACATATTGGGCAACATCAATATTAGTATTGTTACCTCATCCGGTGAACTGGTCTTGCCACAATTACAAATATTAGACACATGCAGCGTTATTGTGTTTCCATCATTAAATCCAGATCACGAAGAAATCCAGGTGGATGGTGACGAAAATCTTTCCACAACACTAGACATCAAAACTAACATCAACAAGGACGGCGTCGAAATGATAGGACCTGATAGTATTTCCAATTACTTGGACGTCCTAAACGCTTTGGTGTACAGTAACAAAAAACCAGCATACTATCTAAATCGTGTATTCAAAGTCACTTGTTCTCAAATGAATTCTCAATTCAAAAGTGCAGAATTCACACTAACATTGACAGTATTGCATCCCAAGCAGGTTCCAGTGAATAATGGTCTTAAAACAACGACAGCACCAAGTACCCTCACGGCCAATGGTGGTGTAATGCAAACAAATGTTGCGGATGTCATACAATACACAGGTAGGAAAGATTATGCCATAATATTTGAGGAATCTTGTTTTAAAAGCTCATTAGATTAGACTTCGTCTGGTTTCAGATTTATTGTTAAAATGTCTATAATTTGTATGAAAATTTAACATTCTATGGACATTTTCTTAAGACATAAGATCAATACTGTAAAATTTTTATCTTAAGACACAATTTTGCATATTAATTTTCACCAAGAGTAATACTACGACGTTTTTTATTAATGACAGTTAAAATAAATTTATTGTCACCAAGAAAATATTATTGTAGAAATTGTTACACAAAATTAATGATATTTCATGCCAACAAAAACACTCTGAGAAATACTTAATATATATAGGAAAATATTTAAATTATTAAATTTTCAGACGATATCAAGCGAAGAAATATTTTATGTATGTATATCAGTGTTGCCAGAAAATGAATTTTAAAATATGCTAAAACTTAAAAAACTAAGTGCTAAAATGTTCTACAGAAGAATAAAAGTGCTAAATTTTTTTAATATAACACAACAATAATAAAATACTGATTATGTAGTGCATGACTCCAATATTTCTGGTACTATATCTTCATCGTTATCTTCATTTTGATATTTTTCTAATTTTATTTTATTTGCAATATAATTAGTTATATATTCATAAACAACATTTTATTTTGTAAACAATTTCCATACAAAATTTGATTTATAAAGCTTGTAAATGATTAAGGCCACTTAACAGCATGCATTTCGAATTTCAATTATTTTCGAATTTGTATTATTGAACATAAAAATTCAGCTTAAATACGATTTCGAATTTTATTTTTAATTATAGCCTTTGAAATAAAAAGCCTTTCAACAGCGGCATTAGAAAAAGGTGAAACGAGTAATGACAATACAAAAATAAACAATTCATTAAATGCGATAAAATTTTCAAAATTAAGGAGCTGAAATTTTGCACAAATATTTTAGCTCCATTTTCCGAAATTCACTTGAAATTTAAGACACATGATTTGATAGTGGGTATAAAAGATTCGGCACAGCCAAATATAACACTCTTACTTGTTCACCATAATGTGCTTTTGTAATATACAACCAAAGATTTTCAATAATATTTTTGATAGAAAACATATAAATATTTTTTTTTTTGTTCACCATAATGTGGTTTTGTAATATACAACCAAAGATTTTCAATAATATTTTTGATAGAAAACATATAAATATTTTTCAATTTTTTTATCAAGCAAAATGCTAAATCTAGCACTGAAAGTGCTAAAATAGCAACACTGATGTATATCAAATGAAAGATCTTTGAAATATCTCTCTTTTGATTTTTATATAAAACATACTATTTGAGGTGTCTATCCAATAAGATTAAGAGATTTTCTCCGGTATTAAGGAACCGATTTTGCTGGCTTCAAATCGCAAAACTCTTGAATGCGTGTCTGAAAGAAGAATCTTGGGCATGCAGACAAACATCGAGAATGCGATGGGTATAAATTCGAAAATATACTTTAATGAATGCTTTAATAAGACAAATAAGACCGATTAAGAAAATATATGTATATTTACTAAATTTAACTCTATCTTTTGTTTTCTAGAAAATAAGGTGTATGCTCATGCAATGACTCATCAGCATGATGCACAAGAACCCAAATCTCGCATACATTCCATAGCCCATAAAGGTAATGTATATTTCTTTCTAAAAATTTTAATTAACCTTTTTTTAAACATTTATTTTATGTTACACAGCTGAGAGTGCTCATCCTACAATGCTGATAATTTTAATATGCGTATTTTTAGTCATACTGTTAGGTGGTGTTTCAATTGCCCGCCTAAAAAACAATAGCAATCAAAAATTTACTGATAGACATCAGCCATGTCCTAAGGTAAGCAAAATGTTATAATGTCTAGTATTAGCTTTGAATGATCCTAAATGGCACAAGTAATTATAAGAGGATTGTTTTTAATGTTAATTTTTGTATGTTATTTTTAGATTGCTGACGAGGCTTTAGTATGGGATGATTCCGCATTAACTATAACTATAAATCCCATGCAAAGTGATGCTGTTTCAGATGGCAGTTCAGATTCAGAAAACTCAGATTCTGAAGATGAAGATTGTACGTATTTTGAATAAATGATATTCTACATGAAATGTAATTAATTAATGTAATAGGATGATTTAATATTCTTGTTTTTCTTTCCTGTTTGCCTTTTCAGTAGCTAAAGGCCGTTTTGCCAATGTCAGCCAACTAGAGTGGGATAATTCCAACATGTTTACCACGGCCGTAAATTAAAATAAAGATACACTCATATACACAACCAGCTTAAAATAAAGAGTAGAGCTAAAAACAACTTAATACAGAAAACTTTATTTTTAAGAGAAACATGTAGTACATATATATATATAAATATATATATATACATATATATATATATATATATATATATATATACATATATATATATATATATATATATATATATATATATATATATATATATATATATATATATATATATATATATATATATATATATATATATATATATATATATATATATATATATATATATATATGTATATATAAATAAAAAAGAAGGGGGATCCTACGCCATAGGGGCACATCTGCCAATAGCGAATAACTTGAAAACTGAGTAATCGATTTTATCGCATTATCAAGTTTTGTTTTCGTTTATCGATTTTTAGTTTTTGTGATAGAAAAAATATATTGGTCAGTATTAGAACGTCAATAATAGTGAACAATAAGACATAATAATATTTTCGATAATATAATTTGAAGCCCGAAAAAAATTTTAACTAAACCCCAGAACTGCCCGTGGGGCACATACGCCAAATATATGTAATGCTTGTGATGTAGAACAAAATTTGGTTAAAATATAGAAAAAATCAGTAATAATTTGTTTTCTTTAGTTTTGTGAAATAAACAATAACTATCTAGTTTATTATACTTTGTTTAATGAATTAAAGTATAAAACAGCAAAATAAGTTTTTATTTTTGTAATTTTTTCTTTTATTTTACTAATGACAAATCTGCCCCATCCCGTTGGCGCATTTACCCCATGGATGGGGCGGTATCGCCGTTTTTGGTCAGTGCGGAAAAGTTAAAAAAATATGTACATGAGGATGAATTAGGAAAGATTGAAAGGAATAAAACTAAAGTCAACATATCTAAGTATCCGAACCAAGAAAAAAATTAAGAATATGTATTGTGGTTTTAATTTGAGACCGCCTCAAAAAAAAGTGACGTATGGTCCCCCTTCTACCCTATATTTATTTATTTATTTATAAAAGTATATATATATTAACTTCATCTATTCTGGTCGGTTAACCCCGCTCATTAAATACTCTACACCAAACACAACAATATCATCATATGCAAAAAAACACGCACCATTAACGATTGTATTGCTAGTCCAAGGTGGCACAAAAACACTCATCCAATGTTGTTCTGGTATATGTTTATTCAAAACATAATTTCTTAATTTTTATGTTTAATTGAAGTCTTTCATTTCATTGCATTTCTTGCAGAATATGTTATTGGTCTTCTTGGATTTTTTACCAAAAAAGTAATAAGATCAGTGCCAAATTTTTCATCATAAATTTGCGACGAATTCCATTCGTAAAAAAGTTGACAAAATCTCAAAACGTCATTTATACAAGTTATAGAATGTTGAAATAATTTACAGTTTTTTAATTTTGCACAAAAGGTTTTGGTGTTCGCGGTCGCTATAAGAAATTTAAAATTTTTTATTTAGGGTTCATTTGGATTAAGGCTAACGGAAAACTCATATTAATATAATGGTGTGTAAAATATCTAGTTTTACATTCTTTGTACTGCACATTCGTTTACAATGAATAAAAATTCCTTATCTTAACTACACGGTAAAGTAGAAAATCTTTTGTAAATTTGTTTTATGCTCTTAATTATGTTAAGAAACGTAATGATAGTTTCATACGCATTTCGAACATATTTATTTTTAAACATACACTAATGGAACCATCACGAAGTAATCGAAATCGCTGGCATATTGTCGCTTGGTGTAGGGTAATACCCCGTTCACATGATGCAATTATTCGTCATTCAACCCCCAATTACAAACTGAATGACGCGGTTGGTCATACAAAATTACAGCTGCGAATTACACAAGCTGTACGTTATTCAGTTTGAATTACGTCCGAATTTACCGGGTGTTTATCATAATCAGCTGTTTGTTTTCATTAGCTGGATACAAATAAAAATAAAATTACAAAAAAACAAAAATCAATAGAAAATATATTACTTAATTTGTTAAAACAATGTAACAAACGTATTTTTGTACACACATACAAATATTCCAAAAAATTACAAAATATGGCAAACTGTCAGAACGAATTACGAATGTGTCATAAAAACGGGTTAATTGGCTATTGTCATTCAGAGGCCGAATTAAGTAATTCAACTGCTCGTGTGAACTTGGTATATAAGCAAGGCATGAATACGATGTGTGAAGTCTTATCTATCTGCCTGATTGATTTATTTATTTAAAATTTATTATTTTTTATTAACATTGGTGGATTTTTTTTAGTTGATCCCCCTTGCGCAAACTGCAACACAACATATTATGGGTTTTGTAAGTACCGAGCAAACACAGAAGTTTGATCTCAAATTAAGATCTCAAATGTTTGATAATGATTTGAACATGAAATATTAATTATATATATATTGCTAAACTATAAAAGAATTAAAATGCTTTTATTTGAAACATTAAGTTTTTTTTTGTTTTGTTTTGAGAATAAAGTTTCACATAAATTTGAAAATTTATTGTAATAAGTTGAGGATTGGATTTGATATGAATATTGGATGAATAATTCAAAAGCATTTCAAACATTTGACATTGTGTTTGTTGGGTATACACAAATATAAATAAAAATATCACTGAATATTCTATAAATACAACACTAACCCTGTAATTTTATTATTTTTATTTCATTAACAAAGGCCAACAAATGTTTAACATAGAGGTCAAATTATACTTTTTTAAAGATTGTGCTACGCTGAATCCGAATTTCTCGATTTGCCCATGATATCACGTTTTCAATGTATCTATGTATCGTCATATTCTAGTGATTTTAACAGCGAAGTGACTTTTATATGTAAAACTTTTTAAATTATATAATTTTATAAACAAAGGTGACTTCCCATGTTTGGCGAAAATGGGATTTTTTAAACTTTAGGTTAAGATATCTCGAATAGAACAAAAGCTTCCTTTCTTCCATATTTTGATTGTATAAATTTACTAAACTCTCTTAAATGCACTTTTTAGAAACTTTTGGTTTGTTGATGCTACAGCAATCGCCAAAGTCTCTTTTGACGGTACTGTAAGCCTTAAAAAATGTACATAAAAACAAGTAAGAGTGCCATATTCGGCTTTGCCGAATCTTAAATACCCTCCACCTTAAACTGGTTGCGTAATTTATCAAATTTTATGGATTGATTCAAATTTACCTTAACATTTTACACTTACTTTCATTACGCCTTACATATGCAATTAAAAACAAAACTATCACTTAACAGACTGTTAAAGAGCGTACTAAATGTAACAAATGTTAACGTATGTTATGCATTTAAAATACAGTGGGACCTCGATTTTCCGTAATGGTCGGGACCGGAAGCATTCTGTATAATCGATTTTCCCGGTTAATTGAGTGACAATTTTGGCTAGTTTTTTAATAGATATTTTTATTAATTAATAAATGTATATGTATATTTATATAAAAACTAAATAATTCAAGGATTTTATATTCATACATGTTTCAAAAATATAAAAAAAAATTATTTTGTCAGAAAACAGTAAACAGTGGATTTGTTCTAATTGTACATGGTTGTTAAAAAATAGAATTTTGCTTATAATCACGGATAATAGAGGTAATAACGGTTAAACGATGCAGAAAAATTTAAGTCAATCCAAAATAAAATTAAGTCGATGCAAAAAAAATTATTTTTCCATCCCGGATAATTGATGTTGCCGGATAATCGAATCACGGTTAATCAAGGTCCTACTGTAATTTCAATGTGTGGGAAAAATGTATGGCAATATGATCAATTTTAAAACCTATATAATTTTGTACGGGAGGTACGATAGATTTTCAATATTGTTGATCATATGAAAAAAAAAAAATTAAAAAAAAAACAAGATTTTGTTTCAATGTTGTCAAAAAATGTTATTTTTAAATTTTTATTGTTGAGCCGAATTTTACAATATTCAATGCCAAACTACATAAGAATATAATCAAAATTTTGGCCAAAGATTATTAATTTGATCGTGTTTTACACAGACAAATGAAAAGAATTATGAATCGACAGACGGTCATACGTGGCTAAATCTAATCAGAAATCAAATGTTTTTAGAAAAAGTTACACATTTAATTGGATTTTTTAAAAATGTTTATTATTTATGACAAAAAAATTTAAATCGACCAGGAATCGAACCGGCGATGCTCGGTTTGTTAATTCTCTATTTCATCCATTACACCACATCATTATTTTGTCTTTCGTTAACTAATATTTTTCATATCAAAATGCCGTGTTATTTCCTGTTTATACAAAACATTGCTGCTGAATAACTTTTATTAACACTGATGTTGCTGAATAGCATAAAAAATTAAACAGTTACACTTTCTCAATATGTACATTTTATTTGATCGTGGTTTAGCAACAATTTTTTACACAAACAGGAAAGAAAATTTCTATGTGAACATCATTAATTGCAAACAATTACGAAGCTAGATAATAGTGTAGTGGGTATGACGGCAACTGAGAGATCTTAAGTTCAAATCCTGTTCGTTATGGACACTTTTTATTTAATTTTTTGCGAAAAATAATACATTTTTGAGTCCCTATGGGTGGTACAAGAAATTGTGGACCGATTTCGATTTTTAACACAGTGGATCACCTTACCAAAAACTATATGCTGACAAAATTCATCAATATTTGTGCCAAATATTTTATGAATATCATTATTTAGTAATTAGTAATATGCGTTTAAGTGATTCTCGAAAGGGGACATTGTATGGGAACTACGACCAATTATGGACCGATCGTAAACAAATTTTACAGTATCATTTATGTATACAAAAGCAATATTTGTGCCAAATTTTGTATGAATAACTTTATTTGGTAATGAGAAATATGCGTTTAAGTGATTTTCGGAAGGGGACCTTGTATGGGAGCTATGGCCAATTACGGACCGATCGTATACAAATTATACATTAACATTTCCGTATACAAAAGCAATATTTCTGCCAAATTAGATATGTATATCGTTATTTGGTAATGAGTTATGTGCGTTTAAGTAA